ATTTTCACACTCTGGTTTCGGGGCTTGAACTAGACCAGAACTGTCTTGATTTACAAAACCATTCGTGATTTTTTCCTCAAAATCGTATGTTTCCAGCTCGGTGCTGCTGAGCAACACGCTGCCGGTGATGATGAGTGGGATATGGATCTTGTTGACATGGACATACCACAGGATGGAAATGATATCAATGACGAGTTCATGCATAGTCTGTTCATGGTGGGACATATTTTGAATTTTTCTTTTCGCCAGCTTTCTACCTTTGCCTGTATGGGATTGACGGGGCCTTATTTTTCTGGTGATGAGCACAACTGTAATTGGTTGCGAGAGATATATCTTTTATTTTCCTGACTTATCTTTTGTTATGCGTTATGACGCCTATTTTAGGATAGTGGCCCACCACAACCCAGTGCTAGCTTCCGGACAGCAGGGAATTCATTCTTTTCCGAAAACACTGCCGGTATGCTTATTGTTTTTTGCTTACATGATTGCCATCCAAAAGCAACATTCATTGAAGACGTGTCAATGGAAAACCAACCGCTGGCAACGGGTTATTACGTATCCACTGCACCTGCAGCTGATGTACCAGACTGGTTTTGGTCTAGCTGTCCTGGCGCAAAGAATCGAACGCCAGTTCACTTAAAGTCCTCATTACACATCAATGTACCTCTAGTGCATCAGGTAAGGGGAAATTTCTTCTGAGTCTTGCTTGTGTGGGTTTTTTTAGAGTGAACGCGATGAAAATAGAGTCACATATCCGTGATTTATTAGTGTTTTGGGTAATTTTTGTCAGTGACATCTCATTTTTGACAGCGCGACACTATTTTTCACAAAATACGGATATACAGTAATCTAATATCCATGAATTCGTTCGTTTTTCTTTCGATGTTGATCGCACTATTCTATCGTTTCTATCGTTCAGGGCGATGAATTCTTGCAAGGTAAATCAGCCATCGGTGACAAGCAAGAAAAGGAAAGCGGTCATCCGTTGGATAGTACCAAAACGGATGAAGTTTTAAGGTAATTTTTTTCTTTTGACAGTGTTCAGTTTGAAGCTTCATTGAGTAATGACACAGATTTGTTTTTTGAGTTGGCATATATGCAACTTTCCCTTTTTTTTCATGCTGAATTACACCATTTCAGACATGTTCTGGAGACCTACAATGCCCTTTCTTGGTTGAACATCGATGTTGTATCGGGAGAACGACGTAGCTGTCTTCCGATCCACATGCAAGCCCTCATCAGACTTTATCACTCGGTAGCGAGACTCATCATGTAATCACTGAACTTGAATAATTATTAGAAGAATTCATCGCTTCCGTCATGTATTAGTCTTTCGTAATCTCATCAACTATGTGGTGTGTTCAACTCGCATATTCAACTCGTAATCGTTATGTGTAGGTGTGCTTGTATTCCCGGTTGTATAGATTCGGTACAAATCTACTTGGTACTCATGCGGTTTTCTTATTTATTGGGCGCTCTATGTGCTTTTTGTGTTGTTGTCGTTTTTGGCCAATGCTTCATTTAGCTAAAACTGCTTTCTTAACCAACTGTGAGCGATGCTCTTTCTCTCTACACTCAAATTGTTTT